ATACTTGAGAGGACATTCTTATTTATTAGACATTCTTTGAGAATTAAGAAGTAAACTGAATCGTGGGATCCATTGTTTCTTTCTCTCATATTCTCATTGTAATTCATTTTCTTCTTCTCTAATAAAACTACACTCTTCTTTCTTCTTTCCTAATCTTTCTTATTCTATAATTGATACCACAGACACCTACACCTGATAATAATGATATGAAATCTAAAAGTAGAAAAGAACCAACCTTGAATTGTAAAAGTAGTGTGTATCCATTTCTTGTAGATGAAATTAAACCTTGGGATGTCTCCCTGGTGGGTATGAGTATCTGACAGGAGAAGCTTGCAACACCCTTTTTGACTGTCAGGTAGAGAGGAATTGTATGATTATGTCAAAATTGGTGTATGGCTAGAATAAGATGGAACATTACTATCCCTTCTCTTTGGTTTCGAATAAGTGTAAATTTGTAACGTATACATACTTTGCATAAGTAATTGCATTATGGCACAAGGCAAGAGTCTTGGCCATGGCTAAGTCTCGACCACCACCACCACCACTTTAGAGAATCCAAAATGAAATAGAAACATAATGTAAGTTATTATAAAATAGAAAGTGGTGTTGTAAGAGCATAGTGAGGAGGAGGGAAATGGTACTTGTTGTTGTGAAAGAAAAGTCCAAAGTCATCAATGAGAACAGCAGCAGGCAATGTATGATGGAGATGGAAGGCAGAAAAGTAGTTCCTAATGTCTTGATCATCATTCAAGTACCTGAAATTAGAGATTATAATTAGTATGAAAGCATAGTGAGGGGAATGAAGATTAGAATAAGTATGAATCGTACTTGATTTGAATACGGTGGAAGAGATGAGAGGATGGGTCAATACCCTGAAATGATGAAGAAAACAATAAATGAAATGAAATAAATAAGAAGATAGATAGAAGGAATGGGGAATAAGACCTGGGAAAGAAAAGGAGGTTTAGAATGGAAGGAGTGGGGGTTACAGATGAAAATGACAGTGGAGTTGGAGTGTAAAGTTGCCACGTTGAATGCAAACTGGAAAAGCAGAGAAGTCTTCCCCCTGATAACATAAATAAATCAGAAACACATACACATACACATACACATAGATAGAGAGACAACTACGGACGAAGAAGGAGGGCCACAAAGAAGGAGAAGATTGGAATTCGAGTGGTTTTTAATTTGTTGAAGCTTTTCCCTTTCCCTCAAGGTCAAGAAAAACATCTCCATTCCCTTTCTCTTCCACTCCTACATCCTCCCAACCACTACTTTTTGTCCATAAAATACCTTATTTCTAATTTGGATTATGAAGTATGATGAATTAACCTTATATTTGACGCCAATGATGAGATTGAAGACAATGGGGCGTTCGACATTGTAGAAGGGCAAGACAGAGGGTTCAGGAAGATAGCCACATGTTTGGGTTATTATTATTAACGGCCCATGGGCTTCAAATTGATTGTCAAACTCTTATCTTAATAATCATTTTTCTAACATAATTTTATGTACATTGCCTTCTTGTATAAAAACTTATATAAACATTCACTATATGTATCCATATGAGTCTCACAAATGAAATATCATGTAGGATGTGAATAAGTTATAACAATTTTAGATTCAATACCAAAAAAATGCATGAATTGACATATATTTGATAAATATGAATAAATATTTGATGTAAATGATTTATTTTAAAGTACGTATTGTTCATCGGGTCTATGGTCAAGCTCATATTCAAAAATTAGACCCATCAATATTTGGGTCGGGTATGGGACAAACATGACTTAACCTATGGTTACTCATTCATCATAATTGTGTACAAAGTAATTACATCTCTCAGGTCGAAAATGTCATTTATTATCTAAAAATTTTCATCATATATACATGATAAACAATACGTATATATTTCATATTTTTTCATCATATATATACATGATAAACAATACATTTATCTAACAATGATATGCATTATATTCAATCCAATCCAATCTAAGACGTGGTTCAGTTTAAAGACTGGTCTGATCGATATTTAAGATTGTGTTAACTTCGGGTATATGACTGGATTTGGTGCAAAAAAAATAATTCGACCAACATTATCCGACCCATGCTCACGCATAATACACATTATAAATTAAAAATTTATTGGAAAAACATTTCCACATTTAAAATGAATGTACTCTTAAGTGAATTAAAGTTATACAATACTTGAAAGAAGCTTATGTAATTATGATCTCTAGCTTAAATGTTAATTTTGAAGATATTATATTTTTGAAAGGCTAAAATAAAATTTCAAATAATTATTCTAAGATAAAAGTATTGTTAACTTAACTAATATTTAATTTACTCCGTATATTTAAAATGAGAGAATAACTTGTGGAGAATAATGTGGTGATGGGACCTGTTTTGGAATTATATTGGGAGAGTACAGCAGGGCTTATCTATATCACTATATGTGGTAGATATGCATCCTAGGGACCAATGCATTTGGAGGATATATATGGTACACCTTTATAAGTACGGTTTCTTCTTGACTCCTCTATTTTGGATTCTTTTTTATACGCGGTTTTCTGGCCCAAGCCAAAACCCTAATATTTGTACGGTTATGGTTTCGATTTTCGGGAACGCGGTTTTCTGGCCCAAGCCAAAACTTTGAAATGCTCTCCCTCTTTTTCATTACAATGCTTTTTCTACCATCATATTAATTATAATTAAGTCTATAATATTTTCACAATTTTCAAATATTGGCAGTTAAAATATTTTTGATGACATGTGTTAAGATCTAAGATCTGTATCCATGATTCTTCCGTACCGGCTGAGAATATCATACTCACACGTATTTGAGGAAATTTTTAAGTAATTATATATTTTATAATATAAAAATAATTATTAAATGAATAGTATATATAACATACTTTGTTAGCATGTTTGAATTCCTAAATTTGTTTAGAAAATAGATTATGGTGTCCACCTAACTAACTATATATAAAGGAGTCTGTTATTGATCTGAGATATCTTTCCTTTGCAATACGAGATGGTAGCAGAAGCAGATCTTGATGGGCATAATAATGGCGATGATAGCAGAAGAGCCCTGATATTCACGTACGGCACTTTAAAGAGAGGTTTCCCCAACCACACCCTCCTTCAGGACCTTATGCTCTCCGGTGATGCTTCTTTCGTCGGAACCTACCGCACCTTCCACAACTACCCCCTCGTCTGCGGTCCCTACCGTGTCCCTTTCCTCCTCAACATCCCCGGCTCTGGTCATCGCGTCAGGGGCGAGCTGTATTCCGTCACCGCCCATGGCCTCGCCCGAATGGACGACCTTGAGGGAACAACACGCGCTCACTACGAGCGTCTCCCTATCAAAGTGATCCCGTCAACAGATGATACAGGTGATGTGGGAGAGGGGGGTAACGTGCGCAGAGGCGTATTATGCGCATAGGAATTACGCGATGGAGATGTGGAAGAAGAATGAGAAGAGAGGGTTTGTGTGTTACGGAGAGAAAGAAGCGAGAGGTTATGTGAAGCGCAAAGATAGGCCTCAACATTTGACTTTCCTTGATCACATTACCTCTTTCATTTCTTCCTCTCACTGATTCACCACACCACTCCACGTACTTTTCTATCATTTCATCTTCTCTTTAATGTACAATTTATTATATCCAGGGATTTATGCCTATCTATGTTTTATTCACTTAGTACCTCTTTTCCTTCTGGAATTCAAACATACAAATTAGATCTAAAATATATTAATTAATGACTGAAAGAGAAAACATAACATGCCTGTCATTCACCCAGATGAACAAGACAATAATTATTATTTTAAGTGCACTTCAATTATTGAACATGACCACAAGCCACAATCATTAAACAATATCGAATATTCTAGTTGCGCTGAACAACACCCCACTGAATATTATCCTTTTTTTAACAGTTTGCTATAGGTCATTAAAATTGAAAGAAATATCATTTGTTCCTTATGTTAACATTGTGCATTTGGAGACTTTGATTATAAAATGTTGGTTGGTCTAAGGCGCCAGATTAAAGTTTTGGTTCAAAATAAGAGTAATCATTATTTTCTTCAATGAAATGTTGTGACCTGCATTACAGCGCAAGATGTTAGGTAGGATTGGAGCTTGCATAATAAATAAAAAAGGGAATTTAAAATATAATTTAGGCATTTGGACTAAATAATAAAGGACCAAACTTAGGAACCCGTGGAACAGCATAACCAACACTGGTAATTCAATGTATTTGTGGTCCGATGCAATCATGCAATTGTATGAAGAATGAACCATTACCTATCATGGACATAGGTTACAATTATTTATTCATTATTACGGTACGATACTTTATTTCATTGAATTATGCCATACAACTCTACAAGTGTGTATCATGTATGTATATAAAAACATTGCTATAATATTACTTTTTATCTTTATTAAGTTTTACAATATGGTCAGTATCATAATTTTTTACTCTGGATTCTTACCCCCTATCAAAGGGCATAGTCTCAATTAATTTATTATGCACCACAATCCTATGACGGGTTTAACTTATTGATTCACTCAACGTTGGATAAACATATGATCAGATTTCATTGATCTTGAGCAGAGACTTGGGTTCAGTAGGCCTCCAAGTCTGTGACATGGATACATAATTTTTATTCATGGTCAAAATCTGCAGATTTACATATTTATTTCTGTATCTTTAATTTCGTGCAGTATCTGAACTTTAGTACAATTGTATATTAGTTCAATGGATTTTAGTAAATGCTAAAGTTGATGTTACAATTGAAAGCGTTAATCTTATTACTGCTTTAACAATTTTATACATGAAATATAAACAATATAATGAAATACAAAACGGGATTAGATGAATAAGAACAGGTGGAATTAAAACGCTTTGATCACATTGCTCAAAATCCGCAAACCATATCAGTGAAAGAAAAAGAGATATAGTGATGGAAAATTAATTAAAAATGATAGTGAGAAGGGCTCAGATAAAATGGGTATGAGAAAATTATCAGCACTAAAAACTCAGAGTGGTGCATGACTATCTCTGACTCATCACAGCCCATTGAAATAACTTAAAAAAATATAGGAACATCTGAATGCAAAAGCCTAATTAGAATATGGCTTCTGCCAGAATTTAGGTCCACATCTTTATTGGCAACGTACAGCACTGAATTCACTATCGAATAAGTGAATCAGAGACTCTAAATTGTTGCCTTTTCACTTATAAAAATGAATTGATATTCAAGAAATTAAAAAAGAAAACAGAAAACAGTTAGTAAGGAAGCCTCAGAATAAATAATTAGTGTATGCATCAGAGCAATCGTTAAAAAGCTGAATCTCAGATGGTACGGACAATTTGAACATCACAGGCTTTGAAAATAAAGAAGAAATGAAAAGGGAGAGGAGACAAGTTGTTGTCAATGTGTGGTGCGGCTGGGGATTAAATACGCAAAACTACAACCAACTATAAACCCTAATTCTTCTCTCCTTAGACAAGGCCCAAAACTATTCCAAACTATAACTTATGGGCTCAACAAATATGTAATGTATATATACTCATATTCATATTATTGAATTTAAAAAATAATCAAACTATACTTAAATCAAATTTCGAATTGTATACTAATATATGACAACGAGCAATTACCAAACATAAAATCATATTATATACTTTTTCTAATTATCCTTCACTTCTCTTTTAAGTGTTGCAGCGGATAAGGTGCACAGAAGAAGAAACCTCCTCTGAAGAACAATCTCCATTCCTTCACATCATTCATATTTTTCTATCATACGCTTACTCTTACCATTTCATCAAATACCATATTCATATGCCTATCTATTGTTCGATAAAATGCCTCCCATTTTGTCATACTAGCTCTTTCCTATCTACATCGTCATGGGACTTCTTAGCTTTGAAATCAATACCATTTCTCCTTCTACCTTTCATTTTGCTGGGATTTCCTCTTTCCCTTCATACGCAATTCCAATTTCTCCGATACCCCTTTCCACCAATGTTCTCAACACCAGAGTTTCAATCAAGTTTCACCCTTTTTATTCCCCCAATCTCAAATTTGTGCCGCCACTCACTGCCTCTTCGCTCAATGATGCTTCCAATGTTGGGTTGATTAGTGACGTGGTTAATCCTAAAGACTTGGAATTTAAGCCTTCCTTTGATGTATATTTGAAGGCTATGGAATCCAGAACTTCAAGGAAGAAAAAACGTGCTTCTACTACTGATACCACATCTCAAAAACAGAATGTGAGGGGAAGGGGAGAAGAAGCAGATCAAAAAGTTGACAGGGTTGGAGAAAAAATTGATGGAAAGGAAGGGTTTGCAGCTGCTAAAGAAGACGGGAAAATTATAGTTATATACAAAGAAGAAGGTTCATCCACAAGTGATGACTCTGTGAGACAGAGAAAGACTAAAGAGTTTAAAAATGAGCACGGTAGGAAAGAAAGCCAAATTGATGTAAAGGGAAAGCAGAAACACGAGGCAAATGTAAGAGAAGGTGTGTGGTCGAAACACAAGAGTCATAATAGTTTAGAACCTGAATCTGGTGGCAAAAGTGGGAGTGGAAGTGGTAGGATAAGCAATAGCATAACTAGGCCTAATTCAAATTATAGCCTCGGAGAGAAGGTAGTTAGTAGCAGACAAAGGGATTACAATACACAGGGTAAAGGTTCTGGTGGAAATAAGACTGTAGTTAGAAATGAAGTTATGGACACAGGCTTTGGGAGAAGAAATACTGAGATTGAGAGTGTTGTGAGCAGAAGCAGCCCGGAAAATGTCAAACTGAATCGAAACAGTAAGCGTTTCGTTGATAGGGGTTATGATTCTGACAATGTGGAACGAGCTGCGTTCACGAATTTGGAGGATATCAGCAGGTTACAATTTTCACACAAGGAACTGGAGGAGAGAATCCAAAAGCTGGCTAGATTGTACGTAATCTATTACTTCTTTCCAGTTTCTGTGATACCTACTAAGGACAAAATAACATGCTCAAAAGTTAGACTTGTGCATGAAATTTTATGTCGACTTATCTTTTTTCTATTATGAACAACATGTTTTAGTAAAATGTTGCCGCAGAGAAGAATCGAGGTGCTATACTCAGGGTGCATAACACCTAAAATTGCATATCTTTTGATATTCAAGCTTAGTTTTATCTTCTATGATTATTTGGCATCATATTCATTCAATATTTAGTTTTGAAGTTGTTTGGTTACACATTGGTGGCTTTTCCTTTAAACTGGAGTTGAATCAGTGTGCCACAAGAAAGTGTAGCTAGATTAGAGTAAGGCATTTGCCTCAGCTCACACCTAATCTCCAGATTCAGTTTGCAACTTTGCATAGAATGTGCTTATGAAGTTTGTTAATCTGGGGATTTATAATCATTATTTGTTGTTTGGAACTGCATAAGTCTGCACATATTACATACAGTCTGTTATTTATGCTTTATGTTTTTTTGCATGACTGTGATATTTATGCTTAATGTCAGTCAAAATTCCTGAGCTGGGGAAATGGCACTCAAGTCAAGTCCGGTGAAATCTCTAATGACAGACGTCGTTTTGTGGAAACGGAATGTGATTATGCTCAAGTGCATTTTCTTATAGTATATACTTTTATGAGATTTGTTATTTGGGAATCTTTCGTTTTCTCCTACCATCTAGATTCATGAGAGCCTTGTGAATATTGTATTAAAGCATTGCTTGTGTCTGCATTTATGAGTTTAAATTACTGCCGGCACCAAAGAAAATAGATATTATTGATATTTCATACGTAACTGTTGGAGGTTAATCCTTTTCTTTTCTTCCTGCTCTCTTAAGTTGTTAGTCCAATGTCTATTCGCAGAACATGACTTTAGATTTTTATTTTATTATTTCAATCCTGTTAAAGTGTCCATTTCTTGTTTTCCTCACCATTTTCCTAAACAGGTTGAATGGTGCAGATATCGATTTGCCTGAATGGTTGTTCTCTAAAGCGATGAGAAGTGCGAAAATCAAATTTAATGACTATTCTATAACTAGGGTTATCATACTCTTGGGAAATCTAGGGAACTGGAAGCGGGTAATACAGGTCATTGAATGGCTTCAAAGGCGTGAGCGTTTCAAATCCAATAAACTAAGGTACTTGAATGGCTTCATTGAATGGTCTGTGATGCTCAGTAAGATTAATACTTTGCTTGAATGGCTAGTGATTAGGCATCTGTATAACTATCATGTTTACCTTCCATACCAAATTATATAAAACTGTGATCAAATGGTCGATATTTCCATTTATTTGAAAAGTATAACATGCATTATTTTTTAGATATATTGGAGCCTTCTAGTCGCAAATTCCTAAAATATAAGATGGTTTTTCAGACACACACACAAAGCAACCATTTTGCATGCAAAAAATTCTCTTGCTACCATATAGCCTTCTTTTTCTTTTTTGCTTCAAGCATCTTTTAATGTTCTGTTCTTTGACATTAGGCATATATACACTGCTGCTCTTGATGCCCTCAGAAAGTCAAGGAGACCTGTAGAGGCACTAAATATGTTTAATGCAATGCAGGTAATGGTTGTAATCCATGCAGTGTGATACCTTACTATGTTTCTTAACATGACTTGGGAATACAAACAACTTCACTAACACTTTGTTGTTTTCTTCCAGCAACAAATGGCCACATATCCTGATTTAGTAGCTTATCGTAGTATTGCTGTTACTCTTGGACAAGCAGGACATATGAAGGAACTCTTCGATGTGATTGATATTATGCGATCACCGCCAAAAAAGAAGTTCAAAACAGGGCCATTTGAGAAGTGGGACCCAAGGCTGGAGCCAGATAGTGTAGTCTATGATGCAGTAAGTTGTTGTTAAAGAGGAACTTAGTTTGAAGAGACCTAAGAGATAGTTGCATTGCCTGGTCTTTTTGCAGAGCGTTTGGTTATTCTTATTTATACTATTGTGCCTGGGCTTTCTTATACTACATACTCGACATTGGTTAAATATCACTCTAGGCTTGGTTTAGTATTTTAAATATCAATTGGTTTTGCAGGTCCTTAACGCTTGTGTGAAGGGGAAGCAATGGGAAGGAGCCTTTTGGGTTTTACAGCAGTTAAAGAAGGAAGGCCAACAACCCTCTGCTACAACTTATGGCTTAGTTATGGAGGTAGTAATCACCTTAATATTTTTAAAATTAATAGTCACATTTACATAATTTACATATGTCTTGGTAGATATATATCTTTGGGTACTTTTTTTAATAATTTAATAATATTAAGATTCTGTTAGAAATAGCGAGTATAAAGGGGTAGGATATAGGATCTCCACCGATCAGAATACAGGAGTAAATTAAAATCATGGAAAAGAATTCATCAACGCAAAGGAGCACTTGAGAAGGGATGTGATTGGTGATTCAAACTTTGCTTCAAATAAAATAGAATAACACAATCCATTAAATATGAGATCCTTACAAGAGTTAGGACAAGGTTCCTACTCATGGTTGACTTGAATTATATCATAATTGGAAACTTCTTATTCCATGTAAAACATGAAAACTACAACTTTTGCCAGTTTGGATATTGGCTTTAACATAATTCATATTTTATTCTGATTGTCTTGGTTCAAGGTTTGAATCTTGCCCATGACATGTTTTAAAACCCCACCTAATGGGATTAAGGTTTGGTTGTTGTTGCTGACTAAATCATGAATTTGTGTATGCTTGGGCAGGTGATGTTTTCATGTGGCAAGTACAACTTGGTTCATGAATTTTTCAGAAAACTGCAAAAGTCTTATATTCCCAATTCATTGACATATAGAGGTATCCTCATTTATTTTGATATCCTTGTCAATTACTTACTTTCAGATGATCTTGACCTTCTTGTTATATGCAGTTCTCGTCAACACACTTTGGAAAGAGGGAAAAACTGATCAGGCTGTATTGACTGTGCAAGAAATGGAAAACCGTGGAATCGTAGGTTCTGCTTCTATTTATTATGACCTAGCTCGATGCCTTTGTGCTGCTGGAAGAAGTCATGAGGCACTGATGCAGGTGATTTTTGTTATTCCTATTTTCTCTCGCAGTTGCCATTTTTTTATAGGGCGGGGAGGACGTGGGTGTATGAATATAATGTCTATAAGTAATTCATTTTCATCGAAAAATATAAATGCAATAGTGAAGCAGGTCATGTATTGTTAAAATTACAACAATGAGGCCAAGAAATGCAACCTTTACCTAAGCCGTAAGAGTTGATGAAGTCTCAAAAGAACAAAAAAGGCTCAAAACTGACCATGCAATAGTTCTTGTTCACCCGCCATGCCGTTCATCCTACACATACAACATCATGAAATTAAATGATATAACACTTCCATAAATTGAACTATGGAATG